ATTTGTGCGCGCTGCACAAGTCGGACTCAAACCTAAATAATAAACATGGTCCTTTTGAGGCCTTAAGAAACGAAGTGGCACCAAAAAACTCAAAAAAGAATAAAGAAACACAGCTCTGGGCGGCCTCTTGGGCATATTACAAAATTGACTCAAGTCAGTAGCGAGCGAGAAATCATAAAGCGCGGACCTTTCTTACCGTCAGTGAGCGAAAAAAAAAAAAAATCGGGGAAATCAAAAAAAAAAAAAGACATTTAATTTGCAAAAAAAAAAACCATTAAACGTGGGTGAAAATTATAAATTAAACAAACAAACAAGACAAATTACAAAATTAAACACGAGTAAAAAGTTTGTGAAAAACCAAAAAAAAGTTTAAACATTGCGAGCAACAACATATTTGCTTTGCGATACCAAAGCAAATTGAACAGTGTGGTGAAATTACAAAAAGTTTGTGAAAAAACAAAAAAAAGTTTAAACGTTGCGAGCAACAACATATTTGCTTTGCGATACCAAGGCAAATCGAACAGTGTGGTAAAATTACAAAATTTTTAACAAATTTAAACAGTCAAACGAAAACGACAAAAATTTAAAATCAAACAAAAAATTTGTGACAATTGTGCAAAAAAAAAAACTACAAAAATTTAAGACAATACAATTAAGAGATTGTGAGAAAAATTTTTTAAGCGTTGCGAGCAGCATACCTGCAACAGCAACAAATTTTTAAGCGTTGCGAGCAGCATACCTGTAACAGCAACAAATTTTTAAGCGTTGCGAGCAGCAGACCTGCAACAACAACACATTTTCAAGCGTTGCGACCGCCAGCAGTATACCTGCACTTAACGGAGAAGCGGTGCAAACGCCCTACTGGAGCATCAAAGGCGTAAGCGGTGCGACCCCAGCACTACCAACAATTTCACTGCAAACCGGACATAACCCCTACCCGAAGAGGCGGAACGGAAAATTAATACGACCGGCTAAGTAAAAACACCCATGGCTGAGTAAGTCCGTATATTTCATGTGTATATGTATATAAATATATTGCGGTAGCCCGGTAATTATTCAAAAGAAAAGGAGACCTAGTTTTCCAACCCCCGTTACTTCGAAAGAAGACAAGTTTTTTCAAACACCCCGTTAATCTCGAAAATTCCAGTTGCGCCTTGTTGAATTTAAAACCTATGCATATACATATAGGTATATATATGTTTATATGTACATATGTATGTATGCACATAGTAACAGCAAATTAGCTAGCATCTTTGACTTTGCTAAAGTCGTACAGTAAAAGTCCTGTTATTTGCACCCAGCTCTGCCGAAATAACAGCAGATTCTTATATTCACGACATAAATTTGTACATAGTTACTTACATATAGATATTTTAATTTACATATGTATGTAGGCAAATATATCAGGCGGTAACCAAAACCAGCGAAAAATAGTTGAGCGCAACTGTTTTTCATGTGTACATACATATGTACATGCATACAACTCCCACTCACTGTTTCTGAGGACGTTTGACTCATTGTTCTGAAGCTAGCAAATTCGCAGCGTTAGCAAACATATTCTCATAATTGCCTATCTTCTCTATTCTCGCTCTATATCAGTGCCCCTGTAACTAGCTCATGTGCGTACTGACTCTTAAGCGCAATATCAATTACACTCAATATTCAAATAAAATAAAAAGGGCGGAGCTTATTTGTACAGTGGGCCGCTGCTGACCATAAATTGCACTATAGTACAGTGGTACGAAAATCAAGTAATTCAACCCAAAATTAACACCCACATCACCCAATAAATAAAATAAAACGCAAAGAAGCGGATTAAGGCCAATATATATATTTATAAAAAAAAAAAAAAAAAAAACTATACTCTTGACCATAATTACAATTACGTATAGTGAACCTAGTATATACAGACATACTAGTACATAGCTACGACGGCTCGAAATAAAATAGCGAAAGAATAGTCGAGCGCGACTGTACCGCGTTGTAGCTGTATATAATCGCATACGCTAATCTCCCACTCATTGTTATATCCTAATTCGCATATTTAACTCACACCATATGTACATGTTTCTGACCCTTTAATCCAGCCGTCTTTTCATATTGAGTGTACCCGCAACTTGCTCACACTCTAATATACGCATACACTCAATATTAATTACACTCAATTTTAAATAATATAAACAAAAAGGCGGAGCTTAGTGGCACAGTGGGCCGGAGCTGACAAAATATCTCACTTGAGTACAGTAGTACAAAACTGAACGATTTTTACAACAAAACCCAACCCCAAAAAGAAAGCGAATTTAAAATTAAGTCACCGTTTTTTAAACCGTAGAATATCTACTCATACCCACCCCCTAAAATATTTCGGTTTAAATTATAAACTCACTCTACCCATTTAATAAAATTTCGCCCAACAAAATGCCGCAAGATAAAGATACCCCTACTGAAAAAAACCAAAAAAAATAACTGTCTCCAAAAATTTATTTTCGAAAGCAATAGGCTGGAGATTTTTTGTTCAAAATGGTCACCGTCCTTAGCCACTGATCAAACCGAAACCTTACTTGAGGTCAAAATCCAACAACTGGACAGCAACTGGGATAGCCTTTTAAAAGCTTACGAAGCAATATTCATGGACGATGATCACCCAGAAGTCAGTGGCTCGGTAGAACAAAAATACTGCAAATGCTCGGAGAGCTACCAAACCTGCAAGTCCCAAATGTTGGAAGCGTTACAACTTTTTAGAGTTAATACGACCCCTCAAGCTACCCAGCAAACATTCAACACGACTTTTACCCCAAACCCTTCTGCCTCCAACGAGGTTTATCTCAAGGTACCACCGTGCGACACAGAAGTATTCCACGGTGGCTACGAAGACTGGCCGGCATTTAGAGACATGTTTACGGCAGTCTATATAAAACGCCCCAAATTAACCCCCGCTCAAAAGTTGTACCATTTGCGATATAAGACAAAGGGACAAGCAGGACTTATTGTAAAACAATACCCTCCTACCGACGAAAACTTTGCGCTTGCATGGGAAGCTTTAAAATCACGTTACGAAAACCCAAGAATTCTAGTAGATAACCAACTCAAAACCCTACTAAATTTGCAGCCCGTTTACGGAGAAAGTGGCGAGCAATTACAAAGGCTACAAACAACAATTAATAATTGCCTATCCACTCTTGCATCACAAAAAATTTCTACGAAGGACTGGGATCCCATTCTTGTGTACTTGTGTTCATCGAAACTACCAAGTGAGACACTTTCCCTGTGGGAGCAATCCCTCAGCTCTCGGAAAGAGTTGCCACTATGGTCAGAGATGAACAAATTCCTCACTTGCAGGTACGAAGTGGTTGAACGGCTTGGTACGTATCGACCGACTAAACCCAAACCACAGTTTACCCCCTTCAACCCTAGAGCTGGCAGTCACAGCTCCACATTTATTAATAAAAATCGCACCCAAAACTTCCACGTAGATTCCGGGAAACCAGTTTCATGCAAGCTGTGCAACTCCAATCACGCAATGAAACTTTGCGTTAGATTCAAGAATCTCTCTGTACCTGATCGTCTCAAATTCGTACGTGAGCACAAGTATTGTGAAAACTGCCTCTCTTGTTCACACTTAAAAGGTCAATGTCAGAGCAAATTTACCTGTGTATACTGCCAACAACGTCATCACTCATTACTCCATTTTCAAGCAAACCAGCAAAACTCGAAACCCAACCCAAAACCCCAATCATCGACGACGCAGGCAACAACCACAGTGGAAATAGCAGACGACATGCCCTCCACGTCAACAGGAATCATTCACACCCCACCAACCCACAAAAAAGCAGTCAACAAAGTTTCAACTCACTTCTCGTGCAGCAAAGGAACCACCCTATTACCCACAGCGATGGTACCAATTTACTTCGCGGGAGAATATCACCAGATCCGAGCAATGATAGACCAAGGCTCACAAAAAACCTTTGTCACGTCTCGGATCCAAAAAATATTAAATTTACCCACCAAAGAAACCCATTATGAAATATCAGGAATGGGAGGGCTAGTGGTCCAAAACTCGAAAAATGTTTGCGAGTTAACCCTTTGTTCTGCGGACTTAAAGCAGAAAATTCAAACCCAGGCAATTATTTTACCCCACCTGACCCATTTTCTACCCAGTCTCATGGTGTCATACGTAAACCTTCCAGAATTAGCAACTTTAACTTTAGCAGACCCTAATTGTTTCACTCCATCTCGAATCGATATGGTCATTGGGAGCGACGTTATTCCCCAAATTCTCACACAAGGACTATATCATGTTGCAGACGGCACACTCCTGGCGCAGAACACGATATTCGGATGGATAATTAGCGGACCAATAGCTGAAAAGGTGACGTCATTCACAACCCAAGTCATGGAACCCTCGAACGATGCTCTCAATACGCTATTGAAGAAATTCTGGGAGCAGGAGGAAGTATACCCTACCCAACCCCGTTCAAAGGAGGATGAATACTGCGAGAACCTGTATGTAGCCACGACAACCCGTCAAGAAAATGGAAGGTACGTTGTAAAACTGCCTTTCAAGCAAGAATTTCCTACCACTACAGCACTTGGCCATTCTCGTCCGGCAGCACAGCAGCAGTACTTAAGCGTAGAGAGTACGCTGCAACGAAAACCCGAACTGCGCGACAAATATAACGAAGTGCTAGAGGAGTACGTAACACTAGACCATATGACACCTTCCTCAGCCACGGAAATAATTAGAGAAGGAAAGTATTTCTCGTTTTATCTCCCCCATCATGCTGTCTTAAAACCCGACAGCAAGACCACAAAAGTTCGCGTTGTATTCAATGCCTCCAAAATGTCCCATTCTGGTCACTCTTTAAATGATGTGCTACACACAGGCCCCGTACTTCAGAACGACTTAATGGTAGTGATATTAAATTGGCGACTCTATAAGTTTGTGTTTAACGGTGACATTGAGAAAATGTACCGCCAAATACTCGTTGACGAAGAAGACCAAGATTTTCAACGAATTCTATTTCGAAGAACCCCAAGCTCGCCGATTCAAGACTTTAAACTCAAAACAGTCACCTTTGGAGTTAACTGCGCCCCTTATTTAGCAATTAGGACTCTCCATCAGTTAGCAGAAGACTCAAAGAGCTCATTTCCTCTCGCCCATAATATTTTACTACGAGAAACCTACGTAGACGACATACTGTCGGGGGGCCACGATATACAGTCCACTTTTAAATCGATGTCACAAGTGATGGATGCTTTAAGGTCAGCAGGATTTCCTTTACGGAAAATTACAGCAAATCACCCCAGCTTACTTAAATCAGTCCCCGATTCTGCTCTGTTAGACGTAGATTTCTTAAAGTTTCAAGACGCAAGTTCTACAAAAACCCTAGGAATACAATGGAACGCTCTGACTGACACCTTTTCCTACTCTTATGACCCCATTCCTGCTGAGAACTCAAAAACTAAGGGACAAATTCTGTCAGCGGTAGCGAAACTGTTCGACCCGGCAGGATGGCTATCGCCAATAATGGTCATGGCGAAAATCCTCCTCCAACAACTCTGGATGGAAGGGACCGGGTGGGATGAAGCGGTAAAACCAGGCTCTCTAACAAAATGGAACTCATTCCGAGAAAGCCTTCCAGCAATAGAAGACATAAAAATACCCAGGTGGGTGCAGTTCACGCCAAAGCAGTACATTGAATTGCATGGATTTTCGGACGCCTCCGAAAAGGCATTCTGTGCCTGCGTCTACATAAGAGTCCAACTCGGCGAAAACTCGTTCGCGTCCTCACTACTTGCCGCAAAAAGCAAGGTTGCACCCCTTCAGACCGTAAGTCTGCCCCGCTTGGAACTCTGCGGAGCTGTTTTACTCTCAAAACTGAGTAAGCAAATCCGATCCGAACTCAATCTGCCCTCTCATGAGTTAATCCTTTGGACAGATTCCGCGATCGTGCGGGCCTGGATGGAGAAGCCTCCACATACGTGGAAAACATATGTGGCTAACAGAACTTCCCAAATTGTGGGAAATGTAAATAATGCCCCTTGGCGCCACGTTCCCAGTCACGACAACCCTGCCGATTTAGGCACCCGGGGGTGCAAACCTCAAGATCTTGCCGCAAGCACTCTCTGGTGGAAAGGTCCAGCCTGGCTATGCAAGGCCCACACACACTGGCCGTCTAACACCAGAGCTTCAACTATTAACCCTCCAGAGGAGAGACGACTCGAAGTTTTTCATACCCTAGAGAGCACGGATATACTCGAAAGATTCTCTTCTTTCCCACGCGCCCTCAGAGTCATTGCGTACATGTATCGCTTCATAAACCATACCAAAGGGCTACTCATCTCCAACGTGCTTATATTATCCCAGGAGGAACTCAATCAAGTGAAGTACAAGCTGATAGCAAAAACGCAACGAAATCATTACGGAGAAGCGATATCGTTACTTGAGTCCTCGAAGTCACTCAGCAAGAAGAGCCCTCTGCTCACCCTCAATCCGATGCTCGACAATGCAGGCATAATGCGTGTAAATGGACGCCTTAAATATGCCGCACTAAGCTACAATGAGAGGCATCCTATAATAATACCCGATAACTCCATATTTTGCTCTCTTCTCCTAGATTTTCTTCACACAACATTGCTTCATGCTGAGAAACAACTCATGATCCGGATGATACAACAGGAATACTTCATCCCACGCCTGAAGCAGAAGGTCAAAAAGTGCATTTTTCACTGCAAACCATGCACGATATACAAACAGCGGATGAAATCCCAAATAATGGCTGCATTACCCCCCTGAAAGAACCACCTTTACTCTCCCGTTTCACACTACTGGCGTTGACTTTGCAGGCCCATTCCTCATCAAAACGTCACCTCTTCGAAAAGCGTCGTACACAAAGGCATATGTATGCGTTTTTGTGTGTTTTTCTACCAAGGCCATTCATTTAGAATTGTGTTCCGACTTGACTACGGAGGCGTTCAAAGCGGCTTTTACCCGATTCACTGGCCGTCGTGGCCTGCCGCACAAGATTTTATCGGACAACGGAAAGACGTTTGTGGGAGCACAGCGAGCCCTAAAAAAAGGACTTCGCTCTTTTCTTAAAGGAAGCGGCCTCTGATATCGCAGAAACATATGCGTTGCATGGATTCTCCTGGCACTTCATCCCACCATATGCCCCTCATATGGGTGGCCTTTGGGAGGCGGCCGTTAAAAGTTTTAAAACGCATTTCACCAAAGTTGCCGGAAATCAAAAATTCTCTTTCGAAGCGTTCGCAACCCTATTAGTTCGAATTGAAGCGGTTCTAAACTCCAGAC